AAAAAAATTGTGACGATATCCGTAAAAAAGGTAAAAAAAACTCCTATAATTACGCAAAACGTCATTGAGCAGCCGAACTACTTTCCCGCCGTCCATAGCGCCACGCTACGGAGAGAAAGTTTTTATTGCAAATATAGCAGGAAAATTTCTTCTTAGATTTCTATTAAATAAGTAAGAATATAATACAGTAAAGTCAGTTAATCCAACACTTCACAATCCGGAATGCAGGATAATATCAATAATCTAATTATAGTACAGACATGTAAAAAAGTAATAATCGATATAATAATATTTTTTCACATGCTCCATGTGTTAAAGTTTACAGCAGTAATAGAAGATTATATATAAGGAGACAAATACGTGTGCCGAACTGTGAACGGCTCACGTATTTGTAAAATCTAAGTGACTCGTACAACATGGTATTCATATAAAACGGAAAAATCAACAGTGTTATAGGGGGGGTCGACTGTATAAGCGATCTATCTGCCAGCAATGGAGTTAAATCTAAAATAAAACTTATAATAGCTGTTATAACGTTTAATTGTTTTATGACTCTATTAACAAATAGTTAGGGAAGAGAGTTTTTGTTTATAGAGTAACTAGCTTACCCGTCGCGCATTGTTGTGATCTCAGAAGAAACAAAATTCAAGCAAACTCGTTACGATAAAATTAAATTTACATTTTATCATTTTTATTGAAACATTATTATTATTCATTTTCATCGGGAAAAAACATTTCAAAGTGTCGTTTCAATTCTATTTATTTATTGGAGCGCTTGTGGATACATGATATTTTTTGTTTTTCCGTCTGGTGCGTACACGAATAAATCGGAAGGTTTTCCGACGCGTGAGCTGGCCACATACAGTTCTCCATGCGAGAAGCACGGATTCTCCAAATTTAGCCCACACACTTGCAGCGATTGTCAGAAGCGCGATATTCCCCATTTTTATATATATTTTTTTAATCCTTTATAATTTTAATTATTTAATTGCTCCTTCCTCTCTTCCTTGGCATATTGTGAAATTTCTGATAGTTGGATAATAAACCGTTTTATTGTAATTTGTCTTTTTAAATTATTTTGAGTTGATATTAAAATTTGTAAAATAGACCAGTAAAATAAACGAATTTCCTCCTACAACTTCGGTTGTTGTTCGGGATACAGTTAAGATTTTAACAAAGTTCAAGCGAATACGTAATTAGCAAAAAAAAAATTGAAATAAAGTGATTAAACAAAAATTATTACAAATATCGTAAATAACAGTTCACAAATGCATATATAGAGATATTTTTTGAAGGAGAGGAAATGGTCTTCACAATTTGAAATCGATCGACACACTGTGCGCGAATGCTCGTGTAAACGCGCGCTATCTATCGTAGGGTAAATGCCAGAAAACTTCGCAGGAGTGTATTAAAAAACTTCCCAAAGCTTCATGGCAATCGTATTATGGCCACAAACCTTCGCCGGAGTATATTAAACAACTTCCCAAAGTTTCACAACAATCGGATAAACGGTGTGGTAATGCATAAAAGACAGACACACACACATACATTCATTTTTATATATATAGATAAGACACTTAGCACATTGTTGTCAATTACGGTGGCAGCTCACAGGATCTAAGACTTGTCTGGATAGGCTGTGTGGGATTGTGCTCCTGTTTGAAATGGAAATTTTGGCGAAATTTTTGGATATATATAGGAATCAGAGATAAAATCAGTTGGATAAAACTTTTTCAGGGAGTTCATATGACACTTAAAATTTTTTGGCTAGGTTGGTTAGGAGGAAAGTTAGGGGGCTTTAAATTCAAAATTTTAAATGCTTCGCGCGTTGTTGTCGTTAACAGTGGGTGTGGGTGGCAGCTCACTTGACACCCTGTTGTGAAAGTAATAAACTTTAACCGACCTTGACAGTGTTTAGTTACTAAGAATAACAAGTGGGGAGAAGTTGTTTAAATGGTAATAAACCATTTAAACAACTTCTGGCAGTTCATTAGGGGACGCTCCCGCTCCACTCGTATTACCGCAAAAGCAATAAACACTTAACACTGGACAATTCACGGTCAATTCCTATCCGATTACAAATTAACCGATGACAATCGGTGAAAGTTGAAATAATCTATTGGCAAGAGAAAGCTGATCTGTTTATTTTAAAGCCGTATCGTCTCTAATTACAGGAAAATAAAGTAAATAAAACATTATAAAGAAAGAAAAGCATCAAAATAACAGATAGAATCATAATTTTTGATAATCAGGGCCATGATTTTACGATTTTAAATTAAAAACGGTGGACGCTAGGCAAGCAGTTGTGAGCGACTAGTAAGTCAATCCGTATGACACCTGACTGCACGCTGAAGTCCCTCCGGCTCGATTTCCTCGCCCCTATTACGGCGCGAATCGGGCCAGTCCACTTCAAACACCTTTGCTAACAGATAGAACATCCTGGCATATTAAGTGAGCTGCTTCCAGAACTGCGCAGTCGATCTACATCAAGCCAACTTTATCACCTGGAGCATATTGCACATATAGAAAAGCAAGACTTTTGTTTGTTTGATAAACGAAGTACAGTATAAAATGCAAATAAATGAAAGATTTTACTTACCATTGCGCCCACAGATGTTTTCTCGAGATGTTATATAGATGTTAATAGAGAGGTTGTGGCCGACGTTTTCATTGCGAAAACGTGTACGTCGGACGTTCAGCATCGTCTTCATGTAAGCCTACAAGTTTAACAATAGTGTTTGGAATGTCAGTGGAATCATGCTCGACGTACCAAACAACATTGTCAAACTTGTAGGCTTACAGGAAGACGATGCTGAACGTCCGACGTACACGTTTTCGTGATGAAAACGTCGGCTGCAACCTCTCTATTATTGAAATGCAATAATGTTTCCAGTGCTTCCAGAACTGCACGGTCGATCTACATCAAGCCAACTTTATCACCTGGAGCATATTGTACATATAGAAAAGCAAGACTTTTGTGTGTTTGATAAACGTAAGTACAGTATAATATGCAAATAAATGAAAGATTTTACTTACCATTGTCTCTCCACAGGTTTTTTCAATCTCCACAGGTTCAGTTGTCGTTATTACAGATGTTTTAACTGAAATGCAATAGTGTAGTAATGTTATTGTTTCTTTTAATATTATTGAACATGGTTAATTAATTGCACGTGTCTTTTATTTTCAATATGGATTCCAATAAATAATTAAGCTAAATTTACTGCTGTTTTGAGTTTAAAAAATTGCTTTTTTAAGATGAATCAGACTAGGCATTAATTTGATTCTTCTTTTCCTCAAATTGTGCATATAGGAACACTGTCTTGAGGGAATAAATTCAAAACTTGTTAAATCGTAATGACAACGATATTCAATCGGCTCGTTGCATTATTTGTTTAACCAAACTTATTTAGTTTTAAATACGATAGAATTACAGCATCTACGAGGCATGTCGACTTTGAGAAGCATTAAAAAGAAGTGCATCTTCTCATTACTTCCCCTTCCCCAGTCATGGTATTTATATATGGATTCCAATAAGTTTATTGAATTTCTACAAAATTTCGTATCGTGCATTTTTTATAATATACAATGGCATCACTTAACAAAGGTTAAAATTAAACGACTCTCGTTTCAAGAAGTAACTAGGAAATGATATCAAGAAAAAAAGTTATTTCCATAACATAAATTAGATCCTTAAAAATAGTATTTTGTATCCTTAAAAATTGTATTTAGTATTTTCAGTATTTATAATGTGTATATTTTCATCAAGTACAGAAGAAATCAGGAATGAAATTACACATTGACAAGGATTATTTCATAAATACGATGCAATAATATATCATAGAAGCAACCATATTTCTTTTCAATTATCAAGAAAGATTTTTTGATAAATATATGGTTTATATATTAATTAACTTGCCAAACGATCACCTAAATATCGGGTTATTATATGGCTAATTAAATTATTAGAATAAAGTAATTTGTCATTAGAGGTAGGCGTTAGGCACCATCTCTTAAGTAAATTAATAATTAAAATTAAATAAATAAATTATTAAATAAATTTTAAAACCTTCTGGAATAAAAGAACTGGCCAGGGATGGGGCTTGATCCCACAACCTCCACTTGCCGTGAGGTGTGCTTAATGACAAATTACTTTACTCTAATCATTTAATTAGCCATATAATAGCCCGATATTTAAGGGATCGTTTGGCTATTTATTATATATACTATTCGGGCTTTCAGTTGTTGTTATATATATATATATATATATACCTCGCCGGGTGTTATGTTAGCTGGCTGAGTGCCATTGGGGTCGTGGGCAATGAAGTCGTCCCCAGTCAGTGATGTATTTAACCAAGTAAGTTATATCTAATCTAATATACTTCTGCAAGCAAAGACTCGCTCGAGGAAGACTTGCACTGGCAAGCGCACCAGTGCAAGGCCTCTGCACTGTTAATGCAGACATACATAGTGGACACTGACTGTAAACCCATTGATGAACTGTACGTAAATAGGCTACAAGCACGGGTAAAAAGGTTTACACAAACTCCCTTTGCTAGAGAGTGGAGGTTAAACAGGGTGGTGGTTGCCTCACTGGACACACCCCGGTTATTTGCGTTCGCTAAAACGCATAAAAAATCACTCTCCCTGAGACCTGTTCTTGATAAGGCCAGATCTCCAACTTGTTTGTTAGGTTCTGCGGTACACAAACGGATATATGACAGCTTGAGCAATTATCCGTGGATAATCAAAAACTCCACTGATTTAATAGATACCTTGCGACCTCTTACCATAACGGAGGATGCTTGCATCACTGTCCTTGACTTTGTATTCCTATATCCCTCAATCAAAATACATGCTTCTGTGCGATTAGGGATTTATTTCTTAGTGAGCTCGGTGCTACTGTTCATCGTAAACACGTTTTAGAGCTGGCGCACATTCTATGTTACACCTCCTTTTTCCGCTTTAACAATAATACTTACTTACAAAAGCGTGGTGTACCTATGGGCAGCCCGCTCTTAGGGGATTTATGCGAGTTGGTGATAAGGCAGCTTAAAGGAAAGATCATACTGCGATTCGTTTCCAACATTCTCATATACAAGAGGTATGTAGATGACATCTTTATTCTATGGAAAGCGGAACCGAACATAAACAATTTCTTAAGTGCAATGAATGACAATCCGTACAGACTCACCATCAAATTGGATCAGAAGAGCAATACGGCGGCGCATTTCCTCGATATCCACCTACAACTTGATGGCACTAGGGTGGTAACAAAAGTACATTATAAATCATACTATAGGCCATTGTTCATCCTGGCCAACTCGGCAGACCCATACTCATATAAGATCTCGGCATTCAGTGCCCTAACAAAGCGGGCTTTTACACACCACACTAGATCTGAGGACAAAGAGGCGGAGTTGAAACGCATTCAGAACATAGCAGTACAGCATGGATATAGAAAGAACCTGATATACGACCTTGCCCGTGCATACGTATCACGAATAGCCGCACGCGACACTTCTAACATACAAGCAGCGGCCCACGAAACACACAACGTAAATAGCACACAGTCTCGTGCAGTAGTTGAGTACAATCACCACCTCAACTCAGTTTACAGGGAGATTGCCGCCCATACTAATACTAAGATTGCATACAACAGGCCTTGCACTGTATATGGGCTACTCCGCAGTGGCAAAGACAAGATCAATAAAAAGCAAGCACCGGGTGTTTACATGGTCCCTCTATGGGACAACAGGTTTCAAAGGGAATTAGTTTATATTGGGTCCACAAAACGCTCTTTGAATAAAAGATTGCAGGAACACAAATATGACATCGTTAATAAACGGCACACCACCACCCTATCAACATATGCCACTGAACCCTGCATAAGAGCTCACCTACATGAGGCCAAACTGATCAAACTTTCTCACCAGGTGGAACACCTGCGAAATCTGGAGTCACTGGAGATTTACAAAGCCGGGTTACGCACCAATTGCATTAAGGCTAATGATGCGGTCAATGTGTCGCACGCTTGGAAGTACTGCTATGAGGTAACGGGCGACGTCCACTCCAGCAGTTAAAGACCACACCCTCATTTGGTGTATTTATTTATATATATTTATATAATTGTATGTATTACATATGCCATTCCGTCGCCATGTCAATGCAAATGCATAACTGTATTCTTTTAAAATCTGTTAGTGCTGTTCCATTTTTCAAATAATTTCATAATCATTGTTCTACGCTTGCACAGATTCGAATCTAACTGGTTTTTAAACCTGATGAAGACCGAAAGTACGGTCGGAAACGTTTGTTTATTATTAAATTGATAACTACTGCATGTTTAAAGGTTTTGGAGTGTTAATGTGTTCTATTTTTATATAGAAGGACAAATTAAAATGGTTAAACTATCGTTTTCTTCAATATTAGCGCAAGAACAGTGTGCCTATTTATCACAGCGACTACATTTATTATTATTTTCCGAATAAATAAATATAAACGAATTTAAAATGATTAAAACAAATTTAAAACTAAATTTAAAAAAAGTTTGAACTTACTGGTAAGTTTGCAGAAGAGTCACTACGCAAAATCTCGGTTTCGTTCTTTTGTAAATAGACAATATTTTTTCGTGGAAAAAAAATTTTATTTCGATTTTAATTTCACATTTTATTTCTTGCTAAAATAGTATTTAAATTAAAAAAATGTTTTCACAAATAAAATAAAACATTAAAACAAATAATAAAGTAATACAGTATATACTGTACTGTATAAATTTATTACAGTTAGATATGATTTAAAAGTGGAATGTTTCATTTTCTATAAAAAGATCATTTTTAAACTTATTATTTTATATATTCAAAAAATGATATAGAATTATCGATGACAACGAATTTAAAGCTAGTTTGCTGCACTATATTGCGGTGCCTCTAGCTAGCAGCAGAATTCGTGGCCAACATTGGGCAAGATGGAGTCTTGCCCCAATGTGTACTTTTCGTACTGACTGCAAACACAGGTCGACTTTATTTCAAAACTAAACAATTTCAGTCTGAAAGGTTATTTCGAACACCATAATATCTTCATCTAAAACGTGATTTAAAAGTTCGCAATCATGCTTACTTTGTAGAAACTTTGTAGCATGCGTATAATTAGACGGACTATTGCCGAAACATGGAAAACTGTCTTACTTCCAAACAAAGAGAACGATTCAGATGTTCTCTCGTCCGTGATTCCTTTTGAGGTTGACATTTAGTTTCCCAAATAACGGCTAGATGAAAGTGCGTTAAACAAGCCCATTATGCGTTCGGCCCGATAGTGAAGAACGGGGCACGCCACATCCAGACAGACTTCCCATCAAAAAATTCGTGAGATTTTTCCGACCCGTCCAGATTCGATCTCGGCCTCCTCAGATCGATAGAACCACTCGGCCATCACCCAAATTTATTTACTGAACGCGCCTATAATTACTATAATTTTGAACTCAAATTGCTAGAATAGTTTTTAATTATTTGGCAACATGTAGCGATTTCAAAATGGCCGCTTATTTTTAGTTTAAAATCCGTGTTGTCGGTTCATTTCGTTTGTATATTGTTTTGAAATCGAAAGCTTGGCAGTCGAGTAATGAAACTAACGAGATTATTGTTATGTGCATCTAAATTATTGAAAGACTATTCCAATTTTCCCGAGCGATACATAAAAAGATGCACGGAATGGACAGATTGGAAACCTCCTGGTCCTCAATACCGTCAGAAGATCATCAAGAGGGACGAAGACATATTGTATTACGATATGCACAGAGTATGGACCGATGAATTTAAAAAAGATAATCTTCCTAGTGATAAAAGGAAAGACTATTTAGTTGAACCTGTGATATGGACCATGTTTGGAGGTGATAAGGTAAACATGAAACTTTGGTTGTTGCACTTTTTATAGTAAATAAAGCTGGATTATTTAAATTACCTCGGAATCAGAAATACTATTGTAAATTTTTTGTATTGACTAACCAAATAACGATGGTGTTATGTAATAATAATTTTATAAAATGTGGTTGTTCTAACTGTAATTGTACTTTGTAACCATATTTATATATATATATATATATAAATAAAACTATCCTAATACTGAGTTTTTTTTATAGAATTCAAACACATTACACCACTGGAATGGGAGAAATTCTCGAGTTTACCGATGAACGAGAATAATATCAGACGTTTTAAAAACTATATTAAATGGGAGATTATAAGCCAAAAAACCGATTTAAGCCAAGACTTCATTTCCGAATTTGCGGATTATTTAAACTGGGAACTAATATGGAAAAATTATATATTTACTACTACATTTATCGAAAAACATATTAAACACGCGAAATGGAATATAATTTCAGAACACCAATTATTAAACGAAGAATTCATGGATAAGTTTTCGGACTATCTTAATTGGGATAAAATAGCAAAATTTCAACTTCTCTCTGATAATTTTATTAAGAAATATATTGATAAATTAAATATGAGAATAGTTTTAAAATATCAGCGATTAAAAACGGATACTCTGCGGGAATTACAAGATTTTCTCCACTGGGATTTGGTTTCTCGTTATCAAATACTGAACGAAGATTTTATTCACGATTTTAAATACTATTTTTTCTGGTGTTATATTATTAAATATCAGAAACTAGATCATAAATATATCTCTGAAAACTCTCACAGTTTGTTTGTCTACATACCTCAAGATATTAGTAACATTGTTGATGATATAATGGAAAAATTAAATAAATTCGATGAAGAAGAAAATTAAAATCTGTAACATCGATTTTAAAGAAATAAAAAATAGCTAGAAGAGTCCATTGTTTTTAAATCTAGTAATTAATTGTATTATCGCAATATTTCTAAATCGTTGATAAAGAAAAAAACTTACGTTCTGTGTGTGACGAGATGTCGGTACAAAAAGAAGTCTCTGAACAGAAATATTGAATGCAGCGGAGGTGCTTTCGGTAGATTAATTAAAGAATGCAGCCCAGAGCTTAACTTCAGGGGACTGTTTTGAGGTTGTAGTAGAGAAAGATTTTTTTATTATCTACAAATCAGAAATAAGTCTATGAACAGATGATGGAGTGCAGCGGAGGAGCTTTCGGTAGATTAATTAAAGAATGCAGTTCCACAGCTTAACTTCAGGGGACTGTTTCAGGGGTGTAGTAGAGAAAGATTTTTTTTATCATCTACAAATCAGAAATAAGTCTATGAACAAAAAATATTGAATAGATGATGGAATGCAGTTCACTTCAGGGCCGCTTTTGGGTAATTATTTAAAGAAAGCAGTCCCACAACTTACTTCAGGGGACTGTTTTAGGGTGAAAGATTTCTCCCAAAATAATTCCGTTAAGAAATATATTATCACAGTTTGTTTCTCTATACTCGCGATATTAGTAACCTCATTGATGATATAATGAAAAGAAAAAAGGTAATAGTTGATATTTACTGAATGGGCCCGTTTTTTATAATTTTGCTCTCTTTAGACACCTCTCTAATAGACGTGTCCTAAACAATTAGAATTATTTGGGGGAGACGCGTATATTAAGAGCTATAAGCGAAAACGCATCGGATTACTTACCGACTGTGCACGGTGGAGGCCGCCATTGCTTAACCTTGTTCACATCGCGGAGTAGCACGTTGGACGGCGGACGCTTACAATTCGTGTCACGTGACCTCGGTTAACGTCATCCAGTCACGTGAGCGGTGACGACGGAGCCAGGTGGTCACGTGACTACAGCTCTGACGTATTTCCGGACAACTATACCTTGAGTCACGTGATAGAGTACAGTGCGTTCGTTAATAGCGATCGTTCGTAGACATTGCGAACAACGGACAGAGAAAAAAAAGATGGCGACGTCCGTAATATCGACAGTAGCATGATGGGGGATCTAGCATTTTAAAATATGCGTTTTTAGAGACAAAATATTAAAAAAGCCGTCCAATAGCATTTTAGTAGTTACGAAAAAAACTCGAGATGACACTTACCAATTACACGGGTATATATATATAATATCCATATATTGACTTGCACTTTCACAACTTGTAATTTTTCATTTATAAAACCACATAATTGACACTAGAACGGAACTATCCGAGCCCACGTTCAAATAAGTCCTAAAAACAATTAACTATTAAAATTTATTTCAGCGGATATCGAAGCCTTAAAACTTTTGTGGAAAGTTACTGTAAAAAGAGAGCTAATTTCTAGGATAGCAAGTATTATTTCGGCAACCGCTTTTTGGGCCAAATCTCAGAACGGAAACCAAAGTAATAAACTAATACATAATTTAAACGTTTAATTGGGGCAGTAGCAGAAAAGAAATTTAGCAATTTTTGATATATCTTAGGGATCTTTCGAATATATAACCACAATTGTCATGTAAGCCTAATGTCTGGCCGAGACAAAGCAATTTTGTCTTTTGCTTGGACAGTTCGGTTTTTCCGGAGGGGGAGTTTCACACTGGGATCCAGGAAGTATTACACACCATTACACCAAATGCATTTTAGATCGGGATTCTTGCTGAGCCCTTTTAAGTCTATAAACAACAATAGCATACATGATAACATGATAACAATAATTTTGTTCTGCAACTATGCATTTGGTTAGAATTTTTAAGATAAAGAATGCTTTTCTAAAAAATATATAGGCTAATAAAACGTTTGTAGATCTGCAGCACAAAATTTTTACTAAGCCAACGTTTTTGTTAAATTTAAACATTAAGAATCTGAGTAGATGGGAAACTATTGGAGTGTGTTTTAATAAATATTAATAAAATTTAGTTAATAATTACGTTAAAAGTATACAAACACTATATTCAATTTGTAATATTTACTAAAACTGTTAATCAGGGTTAATAGCAATCAAATGTCATACTATTTCATATTAGTTTAACATAAAAAAGCAAATTTTTAGTAAAGGGTGGCGGAGGAAGATAACAATATTACGTTCAGAATAAATTCTAGAATTTTCGAAAATGGGAGAAGACTTAAATGTTAATATTCAAAATATTACAGCGTAGAATTTAAGAAGAAAATGAACAGCTACAAAATAAAAA